CAAATTTCCACTCCCTTAAACTCAAATTTCCACTCCTTTAAACTCAAATTTCCACTCTTTTGACCCCAAATTTCCACTCCTTCCACCCCAAATTTCCACTACTTCAACCCCATTTAAACTCCAATTTCCACTCCTTCAACCCCAAATTTCCACCCCTTCGACCCCAAATTTCCACTTCTTTGATCCCATTTAACCCCAAATTTCCACTCCTTCAACCCCAAATTTCCACTCCTTCAAGCCCCAGTTTCCTGCTTTTTAATCCCAATTCTCACCTCTTCATATTCCCAGCCCTTTAACCCCAAATTTCCACTCCTTTAAACTCAAATTTCCACTCTTTGACCCCATATTCCCAGCCCTTCAACCCCAAATTCCTGATTTTTAACCCAAATCCTCACTCTTTCAACCCCAAATTCCCACCCCTTTAACCCCCAATCTCCAATCCTCCCACCCCCAATTCCCACCCCTTTAACCCCCAATTTCCTGCTTTTTAATACCAATTCTCACCCCTTCGCATTCCCACCCCTTTAACCCCAAATTTCCCCTCCTTTCCAGGTTTTAACCCCTCAATTCCCGCTCCTCTGAGGCCCCGATTTCCCCTCCTTTAACCCCAAATTTCCACTCCTTCAAGCCCCAATTTCCTGCTTTTTAATCCCAATTCTCACCCCTTCGTATTCCCATCCCTTTAACCCCAAATTCCTGATTTTTAACCCAAATCCTCACTCTTTCAACCCCAAATTCCCACCCCTTTAACCCCCAATCTCCAATCCCTCCCACCCCCAATTCTCACCCCTTTAACCCCAAATTTCCACCCCTTTAACCCCCAATCTCCAATCCCTCCCACCACCAATTCCCAGCCTTTCAACCCCAATTTCCACCCCTTTAACCCCCAATTTCCTGCTTTTTAATCCCATTCTCACCCCTTTCTATTCCCACCCCTTTAATCCCCAATCTCCAATCCTCCCACCCCCAATTTCCACCCCTTTAACCCCAAATTTTCCCTCCTTTCCAGGTTTTCACCCCTCAATTCCCGCTCCTCTGAGGCCCCCATTTCCCCCCCTTTAACCCCCAATCTCCAATCCCTCCGACCCCCAATTCCCACTCCTTTGACCCCAAATTTCCCCTCTTTTCCAGGTTTTCACCCCTCAATTCCCGCTCCTCTGAGGCCCCCATTTCCCCTCCTTTAACCCCAAATTTCCCCCTTTCCCCCCCACCTTGGGGCACTTTGCTGAAGACCTTTTCCATCTTCCTCATCACCACGTCCTGCAGGAAACAATTCCTGAATTTCTTCCCCACGTCCACCGGCACCATCTCGGGCTCCTGGAATTTGATGTTCTCACACCTGGGAAACGAGGGCAAAAAGGGGGAAATTGGGGCTCGGCTGCTCCAGGGGCTCTCCCCTGCCTCCCCCCGAGCACCCCAAAATCCCCAGGGAGGGGCTCACCTGATGAAGGTGCCCTTGATGTCCTGGCACAGGGAGGGCAAAGCAAAAAGGGAGACGTGTTAACGAGGGTTTTAATTGGGGCTTTTAATTGGGATTCGGGCGGGGCAGGGAACAAAAACCCCAATCCCACTTCTGCCTCTCCCAGAGAACGGGGTGCAAGAACCCCCAGAGGCCTGGAGCCCATCCCAGTTCCCCCAGTTCTCCCCAGTCCCAGTGCAGCGCGGCCCCCCTCACTCCCACCCCCAATCCCAGTGCTCCCAGTGCTCCCAGTCCCCAATCCCAGTATCCCCAGTTCCCCAGTCCCACCTTGAGCAGCTGCAGCCCGTCCTGCCTGCCCGCAGCCTCGGCGTCGGCGATGAGGCGCCGCAGCGCGGCCCCCCTCACTCCCACCCCCAATCCCAGTGCTCCCAGTGCTCCCAGTCCCCAATCCCAGTATCCCCAGTTCCCCAGTCCCACCTTGAGCAGCTGCAGCCCGTCCTGCCTGCCCGCAGCCTCGGCGTCGGCGATGAGGCGCCGCAGCGCGGCCCCCCTCACTCCCACCCCCAATCCCAGTGCTCCCAGTGCTCCCAGTCCCCAATCCCAGTATCCCCAGTTCCCCAGTCCCACCTTGAGCAGCTGCAGCCCGTCCTGCCTGCCCGCAGCCTCGGCGTCGGCGATGAGGCGCCGCAGCGCGGCCCCGCGCTCCTCCAGCGCGCCGAGGTTGCGGCGCTGCCGCGCCAGCAGCGCCTCGTGCCGCTCCTGCAGCTGCCGCAGCAGCAGCACCTGCTCGCCCGCCAGGAAGCGATGCAGCACCTCGAAATCCGCCTCCAGCTCCTGCATCTCCGCCTGCATCTGCTCCTGCGGGACACGGGGGGGACGGGGGCAAATTCCAGCCTTGGAATGGGAAATTCCCACTGGGAACGGCCACTTACAGACCCTGAACTGCAAAATTCCAGATCTTTAACCCCAAATTCCCGATCTTTAACCCCAAATTCCTGATCTTTAACCCCAAATTCCAGACTTGGAATGGCAAATTCCCACTGGGAACGGCCATTTACAGACCCTGAAACCCAAATTCCCAGTGGGAATTTACATTTACAGACCCTGAATGGGAAATTCCAGACTTGGAATGGCAAATTCCCACTGGGAACGGCCATTTATAGACCCTGAACTGCAAAATTCCAGCTCTTTAACCCCAAATTCCAGATCTTTAACCCCAAATTCCCACTGGGAACGGCCATTTACAGACCCTGAATGGCAAATTCCAGACTTGGAATGGCAAATTCCCACTGGGAACGGCCATTTACAGACCCTGAACTGCAAAATTCCTGATCTTTAACCCCAAATTCCAGCTCTTTAACCCCAAATTCCAGACTTGGAATGGCAAATTCCCACTGGGAACAGCCACTTACAGACCCTGAATGCCAAATTCCAGCTCTTTAACCCCAAATTCCAGACTTGGAATGGCAAATTCCCACTGGGAACAGCCACTTACAGACCCTGAATGCCAAATTCCAGATCTTTAACCCCAAATTCCAGACTTGGAATGGCAAATTCCCACTGGGAACAGCCACTTACAGACCCTGAATGCCAAATTCCAGATCTTTAACCCCAAATTCCAGACTTGGAATGGCAAATTCCCACTGGGAACAGCCACTTACAGACCCTGAATGCCAAATTCCAGATCTTTAACCCCAAATTCCGAAATCGTAAAGTCAGAGCTCAAGCTCTGATTTAACAATGAATTAAATTAATTATTCAGTGTTTTTCCCTTCATACCAGACGTGAGGGGGCAAACCAAATTCCAGACTTGGAATGGCAAATTCCCACTGGGAACGGCCATTTACAGACCCTGAAACCCAAATTCCCAGTGGGAATTTACATTTACAGACCCTGAATGGGAAATTCCAGACTTGGAATGGCAAATTCCCACTGGGAACGGCCATTTACAGACCCTGAACTGCAAAATTCCTGATCTTTAACCCCAAATTCCAGCTCTTTAACCCCAAATTCCAGACTTGGAATGGCAAATTCCAACCGGGAACACCCAATTACAGACCCTGAATGCCAAATTCCAGCTCTTTAACCCCAAATTCCAGACTTGGAATGGCAAATTCCCACTGGGAACAGCCACTTACAGACCCTGAATGCCAAATTCCAGCTCTTTAACCCCAAATTCCAGACTTGGAATGGCAAATTCCCACTGGGAACAGCCACTTACAGACCCTGAATGCCAAATTCCAGATCTTTAACCCCAAATTCCAGACTTGGAATGGCAAATTCCCACTGGGAACAGCCACTTACAGACCCTGAATGCCAAATTCCAGATCTTTAACCCCAAATATTGAAATCATGAAATCAGAGCTCAAGCTCTGATTTAACAATGAATTAAATTAATTATTCAGTGTTTTTCCCTTCATACCAGACGTGAGGGGGCAAAATCCAAATTACTGAATACTGAAATCATTAAATTCGAGCTCAAACTCGGATTTAACAATGAAATAAATTAATTATTTCGTGTTTTTCCCCTCACACCGGACGTGAGGGGGGGAAAATTCAAATTATTGAGTATTAAAACCATGAAATCAGAGCTCAAACTCCGATTTAACAATGAAAATTCAAATTACTGAATACTGAAATCATTAAATCAGAGCTCAAAGTGGAATTTAACAATTAAATAAATTAATTATTTTGTGTTTTCCCCCTCACCCCTGCCGTGACCGGTTCCCCTGCCCCCCCCGGGCCCGTTTTGGGCCCGTGACCGCCCCCCCCGGAGCCGTTTTGGGCTCAGAGCGGGCGGTTTTGGGCCCGTGACCGGTTCCCTGCACCCCCCGGGCCCGTTTTGGGCTCAGAGCGGGCGGTTTTGGGCCCATGACCCCCCGGGCCCGTTTTGGGCTCAGAACGGGCCGTTTTGGGCCCGTGACCGGTTCCCCGCCCCCCCTGGGCCCGTTTTGGGCTCAGAACGGGCCGTTTTGGGCCCATGACCCCCCGGGGCGGTTTTGGGCCCGTGACCGGTTCCCTGCACCCCCCGGGCCCGTTTTGGGCTCAGAGCGGGCGGTTTTGGGCCCATGACCCCCCGGGCCCGTTTTGGGCTCAGAACGGGCCGTTTTGGGCCCGTGACCGGTTCCCCGCCCCCCCTGGGCCCGTTTTGGGCTCAAAAACACCTGGGGTTCAAATCCTGGCCCCAAAAACCCCCCAGGGTTCAAATCCCCACCCCAAAACACCCGGGGTTCAAACCCCGACTGGAAAGGGGTCAGGAGTGGGGACCCCGGCCCCAAAACACCCCAGGGGGTGCCAAAAACACCCGGGGGTGCCAAAAACACCCGGGGTTCAAACCCCGACCCCAAAACCCCCAAACCCTCCAAAAACCCCCAAACCCCCCAAACCCCCCCAAAACCCCTCAAACCACCCCCA